ATTCCTAGGTCAAGGAAGAAATAAAGAAAGAAATTAAAGACTTCTTAGATTCAATGAAAATATTGACACAACATACCCAAACTTATGGGACTCTTTGAAAGCAGTACAAAGAGGAAAGTTCATAGCTCTAAGTGCTCACATGAAGAAACTAGAGAATACCCACACCAGAGATCTGACATCACAGCTTAAAGCTCTAGAAAAAATGGAAGCAAATTCACCCCGGAGGAGCAGATGACAGGAAATAATCAAACTGAGGGCAGAAATCAATAAAGTTGAAACAAAGAAAACAATTCAAAGAATCAATATAACAAAGAGTTGGTTCTTTCAGAAAATCAACAAAATAGACAAACCGTTATCTAAATTAACCAAACAGGCAGAGAGAGATCATGTAAATTAACAAAATCAGAAATGAAATGGGGAACATAACAATGGAAACTGAAGAAATCCAGAGAATCTTCAGGTCATTCTTTGAAAACCTGTACACAACAAAATTGGAAAATTTAAAGGTAGTGGACAATTTTCTGCACAGTTATCACTTACCAAAATTGAATCAAGAACAGATAAGCAACTTAAATAGACCTATAACCTTTAAGGAAATAGAAGCAGTCATCAAAAGTCTCCCAACCAAAAAAAGCCCGGGGCCAGATGGATTGACCTCAGAATTCTACCAGAAATTCAAAGACGTGCTAATGCCAATAATCCTCAAATTGTTCCACAAAATAGAAGCAGAAGGGACATTGCCAAACTCTTTTTACAAGGCTACAATAACCTTGATACCCAAGCCACACAAAGACACAACTAAGAAAGAGAACTACAGGCCAATATCCCTCATGAACACTGATGCAAAAATTCTCAATAAAATCCTAGCAAATCGAATACAAGATCATATAAGAGAAATCATCCATCCAGATCAAGTAGGCTTCATCCCATGGATGCAAGGATGGTTCAACATATGAAAATCCATCAATGCAATCCACCTTATAAACAGACTGAGGAAAACAATTTCATGATCATCTCACTAGATGCCGAAAAAACCTTTGACAAAATCCAACATCCCGTCATGATAAAAGTCTTGCAGAAATCAGGGATAACAGGAACATACCTCAACATAATAAAAGCAATATACAGCAAGCCAACAGCCAACATCAAAGTAAACGGAGAGAAACTCAATCCAATTCCTCTAAAATCGGGGACAAGACACGGCTGTCCACTCTCTCCATTCCTCTTCAGCATTGTCCTTGAAGTCCTAGCGAGAACAATAAGACAACAAAAGGAGATCAAGGGAATACAAATCTGAAAGGAAGAAGTCAAACTCTCACTATTTGCAGACAATATGATAGTCTATATTAGTGACCCAAAAACTATACAAGGCAACTCCTACAGCTGATAAACACCTTTAGCAAAGTGGCAGGATACAAGATCAACTCAAAAAAATCCGTAGCCTTACTATACACTGATGACACATTGGTGGGGAAAGAAATCAGAGAAACATCACGCTTTACAATTGTCACAAACAACATAAAGTACCTTGGGGTAACTCTAATCAAAAATGTGAAAGACCTGTACCATAAGAAATTTGAGTCTCTAAAGAAAGAAATTAAAGAAGATACCAGAAAATGGAAAGATCTCCCATGCTCTTGGATAAGTAGGATCAACATAGTAAAAATGGCAATCTTGCCAAAAGCAATCTACAAATTCAATGCAATCCTCATCAAAATCCCAACCCAATTCTTCACAGACCTTGAAAGAACAATTCCCAACATTATATGGAGAAACA